CTAATGGGATACTGATGGGGATCTTAAGCACAAATACGACTGAAAAGTAAAACAAAAAATTGGATTAAGGAAAACAAGCTGGTAGGCAAAAGTAGACCTCAGTAGGCCTCACATACAGTCTCTGACCAGTATTTTGGTCAGACACTGAAAGACAGTCACAGAGAATCACTAGCAACCTGCAACAATCTGTTGACTAACATTTTCTACTTGCTGTTTACATCATACTACCAGATTTTCCATTCGATCTGATGCCAAAATGGATCTGAGGTGTTTTGTTCCTAAAGTTTATTGTCTGAGTGACTCTTCATATGATGAGTTAAACCATTCCTACTGTTGCAACTCTTTCCACAAGTCCCACAAGAGAAAGGCTTCTTGTCTGAATGAACGTTCAAGTGACGATCTAGAGTGTCTTTTCGAGAAAAACTCTTTCCACAGGTCCCACAGGAGAAAGGCTTCTCACCTGTGTGACTTCTTATGTGATGAGTTAAAGTCTGTCTATAAATGTAACTCTTTCCACAGGTCCCACAGGAGAAAGGCTTCTCACTTGTGTGAATTCTCATGTGAACATTTAAATGACTTTTTCGAGAGAAACTCTTTCCACAGGTCCCACAGGAGAAAGGCTTCTCACTTGTGTGAATTCGCATGTGCCGAGTTAAAGTTCCTCTTTCACTGTAACTCTTTCCACAGGTCCCACAGGAGAAAGGCTTCTCACCTGTGTGAATTTTCATATGAGCATTTAAAGTTTCTTTTCGAGTAAAACTTTTTCCACAGGTGCTACAGGAGAAAGGTTTCTCATCTTTGTGAACTTTCATGTGTCTCTTTAAATAGTTTTTGTCATGGAAACTTTTTCCACAGGTCACACACATGGCCAGTTTTTCACCTGTGTGAATTCTCATGTGATAAATTAAGCCATGTTTTTGTCTGTAACTTTTTCCACAGGTTGAACATCTGAAAGGCTTGTTTTCTGAGTGAGTTATCATGTGACTCATCAAGTATCTCTCTTTAGAAAAGGTTTTATCACAAATTTTACAAGAATATAATTTTTGCCCTGGTTGAGCTTTCTTGTGCTTTTTTTGTTTTTCAGTGTCAGTTCTGCCTTTCTCCCGTTTGGTTTTCTCATATTTCTCCTTTTGTTTCTGTTCTTTCTTTCTCTTTTTTCCTGGGTCTTCAGAATTGCTTCCTTCCTGATCCTGGTTCTCAGCTTCTGGAGAGCCATGAGAGATGAGTTGGTTCCTCTGTGGTTCTGTTTCATTGAGAACTTCCTCCTCTTTATACACATAGCATTGTGGGAGATCTGGACAAAAAGACAAAACAAAAGCTTTTAAATGTCAATCAAACAAGGAATCCTTCATTTTAACCTTGATGCATACAGGATTTTCTTGGGTTATTATAAAATTACAATCTGACAAGAATGAACATTAACTCAATCAACAAGGTTCTTCTGACCAGTCTGGAACTAGATGCGAGTCAAAATATATTATGGACCTCCAGGTCAGCAAACAAGATGGTGATAGCTTAACCTGGTGGCTTCCTGACAAACATTACAAAAAATTTTCTTCCTCCATGTAGCTACAGGATATATATCACATTAAAGAGTGACATAAAATGCCTAAAGCGAAACTGCAGTTTAATTTTTAATCTCAACCATTGATATTGTCAGACATTGCTCCACTCACACTCAACACAAACTTTCAAAAGCACCACTAAATCTCAGCCTTTACTTTCCTACGATTCGTAGCAGAATTGGTAACAGTGGATGATTGTTGTTAACCGCGCACATGCAGAAATTAATGACAAAATGATCCTATTGAAAATATTTGACATGAATATTGGACAGTTTGGAAGATTAAATATGAAAGGTGAAAATGGACAA